GTCGCACCAGTCTGCACTCCCAGCAACAGTAGAGAAAGGTTCATTTTTCCCTAGAGCCCCACCAGCATTTGTTGTTGGTTAATTTCTTGACAATAGCCATTCTTTCTGGAGTGAGATGGCATCTCAGCATTTTTTAAAAATTAATTTTATTGGTACATTTAATGTATACAATATAATGACATTCATTGTTGGAAATTTGTATCTTTACATAATCAATTTTGGTTCTTATTTTTTCCCCATTCTCCTGCCTTCCCTTTAACCCCTCCCTCCTTATCTACAAAGACTTTGTTTCCATTATTTTTATTTTTCTCATATTACTTCCATTCCCTTCTTTGCTTTCCCCTACTCCTCCCCTTTCCCCTTCCCCTTTGTCCCTTTTCTTCCTATTTCACTAACAGGTGTAATAGCTAAAGCATTGTTTTAATTTGCATCTCTCAAATGACTGGTGATGTTAAACATTTTTTAATGTATTTGCTGTTTCTATTTCTTCATCTGAGAAGTATGTATTTATCTCAGATGCCCATTTTTGGATTGAGTCTTTAAATTTGGGTGGGCTGATTTTTTCAATTCTTTATATCTTCTAGATATTAATCCTTTGAGGAACCACTTAACATATTTCCCACTCTTTGGGTTGTCTTTTCACTCTGTTGGTGATCTGATTTGCTGTGCAAAAGCTTTTTAATAAGATGAGATCCCAGTTGTTGATTCTTTGTAGTGTTTCCCGTGCGGTCTGGGTTTTGTTCTTGAAGTCTTTGCCTACTCCTATTTTCTGGAGTATTCAACCTATTCTCTCTTCCATCAGATTTAGTGTTTCTGTCTTAACATTTAGATCTTTGATCTATTTTGATCTAGTGTGTGGTGAGAAAAATGGGTCTAGTTTTAGTCTTCGACATGTAGGAAGCCAGTTTTTCTAGCACCATTTAAGAGGCTATCTTTCTTTCAGTGAACATGTTTGGCCCCTTTGTCAAAGATAAGGTGACTGATTGTGTTTGAGGTTTTTTTCTGCATCTTTTAGTCTGTTCCATAGATCTTCAGGTCTGGTTTCTGTTTTGGGTTTGTTTTTTTTTTTTGCCAGTACCATGCTATTTTTATGACAGAAGCTCTGTAGTATGATTTCAAGTCAGAGATTGTGATGCCTCCTGCCCTGCCTTTGTTGCCCACAATTGTTTGTGCTATTCTGGGTCTCCTAATTATAAATAAATTTTAGGAATGATTTCTCTGTGAGGTTTGCTAGTGGTATTTTGATTGGGATTGCATTAAATCTGTATAACAGTTTTGGGAGCACAGTCATCTTCATTCATTATGTTGGTTCCTCCTACCCATGAGTAAGGGATATTTTTCCATTTTCTGATATCTTTTTCTCCTTTTTCAGAGTACTGTAATTTTCAATGTAAAAATCTTTTGCTTCCTTTGTGAAATTGATTCCTAAATATTTCCCCTTTTTTTCAATGCTATTGTGAAAGGTATTGCTTCACTAATTTCTCTCTGTGAGTTTGTTATTTGCGTACAAGAACGCTGCTTATTTTTGAGTGTTGACTTTGTATCCAGGTATGGTGCTGAATTTGGTTAAAAATTTAGAAGTCTTTAGGTAGAATTTTTGGGGTCTTCTATGTAAAGTATATCATCCTCAAATAATGATAATTTAACTTCTTCTTTTCCTATCTTTATTCCTTTTATTTCTTTCTTTTGTCTGATTGTTCTGGCTAATGTTTCCAGAACTATATTGAGTAGGAGTGGTGATAGTGGACATTTTTGCAGAATGACCTAATTTATTTTCTGAGATTATGATAGAAATATGTCAGATCTCATTTTATCTTTCATGTCCTTTAACCTTTTGGGGGGTATTTCCTGTTATTATCAACCCTATTTTTACAAATTATATGTTAGATACATTCAGGTTTGCTGATTGTCTCTTGACTTGCCTAATTTTACATCTTTCCATTATCATACTTTTTTATTTTAAAAATTTTATCTGGTGAAGTAATTTGTGTAGGTACTCTGTCCACAGGGAGGAGAATACAACTGCCCCCACACCTTTAGTGTAGACTGGTCATAGTGATTTCCTCCCAGGGTGGACAGAATAGGGAAAAAGGGAAAGAGTAATTGTATAGTAGTGGAATTCACCTCAGCCAGATAATCGAGAGCAACTTTAATGGTAATAAGTTGTGTCTGTAGCATGTGCCCTTGGTGTATTATGTTGAGAATGGCACTTTATGTCTGTCATCTTTATCCCCAATGCTAGCAACACCAGTTAACAATGAGAAGAACATGAGACAAATCCTAGTTGAGAGACCTTTTACAAAATATCCAAATAGTATTCTTTCAAGCTACCCCTCAAAAAGCAAAGTGGCCTGGGGGTGTAGCTCTGTGGTACAGTGGTTACCTACCATGTGTGAGACTGTGGATTCTATTCCCAACATTAAAAAAACTAACTAGAAAGGGAAATCTCAGCTAAGAGAAACCTAAAGAAATTTTACATGGTATTCTTATTGAGATCCTGGAATAGAACAAGGTCATTAGATAAAAATTGAGAAAATTTGAATGAGCTGTGGCTTTAGTTAATAATATATTGATATTAGTTCATTTATTATGACAGACATATTGTACTTAGGTAAGATGTTTAAACAGAGGAGCCAGAAGGAGGAAGAAAAGAAGGTCAACTACGTTGTATGTGCTGCCGAAGCAAGCACAGTCAACTCAGTTATTACTAAGTTAATAATTAGAAGTAAGTCCTGGTGTTTATTCAACAGTAGATAACTATAAATATTGATAATGTATAGTTTAGGAAAGCTAGAATAAAAGGTTTTGAATATTTTCAGTACAAAGAAATGATGTGTTTGATAGAGATATGCTTACCCTGATTTGAATATTACACCTTGTGTACATATATTGAAATATCACATGGTAATCAATAAATATATACAATTTTTATGTGTGAATTAAATACAAAAACAGTGAAAATTGGGTTTGGGTATATGAGAACTCTGTATTATCTTCCCCACTTGTAACTATTCCTAAATTTTAAAAATATCTTAAAGAAATTATTCTTGTCAGTTTTCATAATTGTATTCTTGCTTGGCTGTATTTTGTTTCATGTTAAAACTAGTTTTTAGAAGTTTATATTTCACAATTAATATTTAAAGTCCCTGGAGATCAGAAACTTTCTGCTCACTCTTATGGTGACTTTGTTTCCTTATAAATTTGATGTTTTAAGTTACAGGCTCAGATTGGTTGCTTTTCATCTTGGGCAGTCTAAATGGCTTAAGTTGGGGAACTTTATGATAATATATGCAAATATGCTTCTTTTGTATTGACAGAAGTCATTATTCACTTGAGCTCACACTTAGTGAGGGTGTCAGCTCCCTTGATTGGCCCAGTGCTTTGTGTCCTGATCCCAGTGCTACCAACATGCAACACATATCCAAGGCAACACTCTGATTGATTAATTGATTTTATTTTTATTTTTATTTTTTGGTACTGGGGATTGAATTTAGGACCTTGCACTTGCAAGGCAGGCAGTGGTACCACTGATCTAAATCCCTGGCTCCTCATTTATTTATTTACTTATTTTTGTTAGCTGCTCACCATTTCTCCCTATTATTTCAACTCCCTGCAAGTCTTTTTTGTTTGATTGGTTTTCACTTACTGTTTTATGAGGTGATGCAGTCTTGATAATTTTTATTGCTTTTGAGATGGTAACAAAACTTGAAAAATAGTAAATTTGCTTCAATTTACCCATGACCTATTAGCATTAAAGAATAGTCTTTTAAAATGCCTAGTAGATTAGACTGCTAGAAATTGAAAACCTTAAATTTTCATTGATTTTTCTCACATGAAAATGACGGCTGATTAGCTTCAGGTAGATATAATTCTTCAGTTGCTTCTCATCTGCAGAGTGAGGGCATTGGCTTGAACAAGGTTGTAGAACTGTGAATATGTGTTAACCTATAATCACTTGTGTAACTTTTTACACAAACACTAATGTATTCATACATATAATATATGCAACTACAAATAAGTGAAGAGAGAACGAGTATTGGATTCCTGAATTTGAAGAAAGGCTCTAAATGGAACGTAGAAAAGACTACAAATAGAGGGGAAACAATAAACACTAATATTTATAAATTTTTTCTTCATTTTGCCATGAACATTTTAGTAGGATAAGGGCAGGTAGAAGTTCAAGTCTTGAGATATTCATAGTAAAGACAGGTGAAGTAGCTCTGCTCTGTATTTTACTTAAAAAATAAAGATTGGTGCAGGAGAGTATAGAGCAGAACTTGAAAAAGAAGCACCTATACAAAGAAACATTCAGGATTTACTAGGAACATAACTAATGTAACATATAACTATATTGGAAAATTTTGATAAAGGACTTCTTTTGGGTTTTTTTTGTTGGGAGGGTTGAGACAGGGTCTCACTATGTAGTTGAGACTAACCTGGAACTCACTATGTAGCCAGGCTGGTCTCAAACTCAACAGCATCCTCCTGCCTCAGCCTCTGGAGTGCTGGGATTACAGGCGTGTGCCACCACACCCCGGCCGATAAAGGACTGTTGAGACAGCTAATGAAATTAGAATATAGATTAGATTAGATTAGATTAGATTATAGTAGTATACTAGTTAAATTCCTACATCTGTCATTGCCCTTTGATTATTTAGGAGAAATTTTTTATTTTTAGGAAATACACGCTGAAGTTTTAAAGGACAAAGGGAAACATACATCATTCATGTTGTTCAAATAATATATGATAAATATATTAATGTATCAACATATAACCCTGGATTCCTAGTATTATTTCTTTGGTTCAAATTAACTCATATGTGATTTATGTCCATATTCTTCATTAATATTTCTGAGTTTTCATTTTAAGCCTGTGAACTTGCCAATATGATAGGTTGACAGTAAGTGTGAATTTTAGTTGATTTGAATGAACAGTTTCAATCATTTTAAAAATTGTAATCTGTTTTCTGACGCATGGAAAATTATCTTTTTTTAAATAGGTTTAAGCTGAATTTTGGGACATGGCCACTGCGTCACCACGGTCTGATACTGGTAATAATCACAGTGGAAGGTTGCAGTTACAGGTAACTGGTAAGTGATTTTCACAATTCAATATGTTGATTCTCTTGAAACTTTATCTAATTTCCCAAATTTATTCATGAGTGATGCTCTGGGCAATACTGAACTTTGATGTGTTTTAAATGCACCAGATTTTAGTCCCTTTCTTTTTTCCTTTACCTTCTTCTCATTTTGTTAATCAAAGTTTTTACTTATTTTTTTAATTGAATTTATTGGTACTTTTTAAGTATACAGTACAGTTATATTCATCATTGGGATCTTATACCTTTGCATGACAGATATTGGTTCTCACTTTTTCCCTATACCCCTGTCCTTCCTTCACCCCCTTCAAAGTTTTTAAAATAAAAAACAACTAATAAAATACATAGTCGTACGTAATTTCATAATACCTTGTATAGAAAATATTACTATTCCTATGTGTTAGTGAGGAAACAGAATCAGAGAGAGTAAGTACTGTTGTTAGTAATGGAAGCTGACTGAAATCTTAGGACTTAAAATTGTTACTCCTTTGATTAGTAACAGTGATCTGTGTATTGATTTTTCTTTTATTTTTAAGAATAATCAGATAATGTCATTATTAAGGCTTGTTATTGCAGTTAGGCAGATTACTGCCTATAAACTGAAGTATTCTGTCCTAAACTCAATTATTTTTAAAATCCTAATTTATTTTTATTATTCACATACACATTTTTATTTCTTTTTTTTCTCATTGAATTTATTTTTACTTTTTAGGTATATAGTACAGCTACATTCATCATTGGGATCTTGTACCTTTACATGATGTATCTTGGTTTTATTTTTATTTCTGTTCTTATCCTGTATCTGCCTGGAAGCCAAGATACTGCCAGTAAAACTTTAGATATAACGCTGAGCAATGCAATTATGCTATGTTGCCATAACTTAAATATAGTATTTATTTTGAATCTCTTGTTCTTCAAATATTGAGGACTACTGTATTTTAAACACTATCTCTGCTGCAGTGTTATTGCATTATATTTCACTGCTGCATTTGTGACTGTTCTCTCAGAATAGAGTGGAAGCTGCTTAACATACTGTGTGTATGACATGAGACTTTCCCCTTCATGTCAAGATCTAGGATGTTAATGATTAATTTTATTAGTTACAAACATTAAAGTCACATGTTTAGTGTAATGTTTTAGGTAATAAATTTAACATTCAGTTTGAAGGGGTGATGATTAACCTCTATATTGACATTTTGGTTTTAAAGTTTTTATTTGAAAAAACAGATTTTTTAAAAACAGCTTTTCGGGTAATACATCTGTTTTTAAAAATGCCACCCACTTATATGATAAATACTACCTGGCAAGGATGGTAATAGACCCGATGAATCTGGAGATTTTATTTTTCTTTTCACCATTGATTCAATTTAGAATTAAATTCAAATGGTTGGTAAAGATGGAGAAAAATTAGACCCTCACACACTTTGATAGGAATGTAAAATGGTGCAGCTAGTTTGGAAGTAATCTGGCATTTACTCAGTGAAGACTTACCATGTTAGCAAGCAGCTCCACCTGTAATATGCCCAAGGGAAATGAAAACATGTTCACTTAAAAACAAAACAAAATGAACTTGTACATGAGTATTTATAGAGATATTAGATATAATAGATAAAATATTGGAACAGCCTTATAGTGGAATATTTGGCAAGGAAAAGAATGAAGTACTGATGGCAAACTAAAATGGGATGAAACTTGAAAACGCAATGCTAGGTGAAAGAGGGCAGTCACAAAAGACCACATGTGTGATGCTAATTCTATACAATGTCCAGAACAGGCATATCTATAGAGACATAGAAGAGATTAGTGTTTCCTAGCATGGGGTGGTGTGTTAAGGGAGGTTGGGAGAAAGTAGTGTTACTACCCAATGGTGTGAGTTTCTTTTTGAGCTAACAAAAATGTTTTAAAATTGGGGTGGTGGTTGCACAATTCTGGAAATCTATTAAATTTATGAACTGCATAGTTTAAATAGATGATTGGTATATAAATTATATGTCAATAAAACTTACAGAAAAATTCAAATGGCTCTTGGGCCTTATCAGTAGCCCTTTTGTATTGTTTCTTCATTTTGCCAGTGAGAAGAGTTTCTACTTGCACAAGAAGTATTCGTATTTATTGGTTTATTAGTAGGCAATACTACTTTTTGGCTACACATATTCACTAGTGATTATTTTTTATTAGTTTCTAGTGCCAAACTAAAAAGAAAAAAGAACTGGTTTGGAACAGCAATATATACGGAAGTAGGTGTAGATGGAGAAATTAAAAAAACAGCAAAATCCAGTAGTTCTTCTAATCCAAAATGGGATGAACGGTTAACTGTGTAAGTATTGTATATGAAGAATTCAACATATTAAAAAGATTGTGTGCTTATGTTTTGTATTTTATAAGATGACTCGAAAGTAAGGATATTTTTCCAGATGAATAGATGATTTAAAGTATGAAACATTTTTAATTTCATTTTTTAAAAGAAGCTTAATAATTTTAGCTTTTATTTGATAAACTAAATTACATTTATATAGTCGTATTTTATCTATCTACGTATAGAAATAAATGGAATTACTGATTCTTAATTTTGGAATTTCTAAAATACAGTATGAATTTGTGTATATAAATGTATGATAGCTCGTGCCATCCGTTTTCTTCCATTTATTTATTTGTTTGTGTGTGTGTTTATTGAGACTGGATCTCACCATGTAGTTCAGGCTGGCTTTGAACTCACTATAGCACAGGTTGGCCTCAAATTTGTGGTGATCTTCCTACCTCAGCCTTCCAAATGTTGGAATTACAGGTGTGCGGTACCACACCTGGCCATCAATTTTCTTAAATCTTTAGAGAATTGATTTAAATGGAGTATTGTGATGTCCCAGTAAGACTCTCAGTGTATTACTGGTATTTTAGCTTGCCATCTGCAAACATTCTTATCTAATTATTAAAGCCCTAATATATTTGAAAGTAAATACTCTTTTATTCATACTTCAAAAGATTTACTACTTTTAATAATATTAAACTCATTTTTGGTGTTAAAACTTGTTGAAATAAGTGATTTAAAGGAATTATCACTCACAGTAATGATACATGTTTGTGTATTTTTGTTACAATTTTGCTTTTACAGAAGTGTGACCCCACAGACTACATTGGAATTTCGAGTTTGGAGTCATCATACCTTAAAAGCAGATGCTTTACTAGGAAGAGCAACTATAGATTTGAAACAAGCTCTGTTAATGCATGATAGAAAATGTAAGTTCTTCTTCAGACTTTTCTTCTTCTTCTTCTTTGGTACTGGGAATCAAACTGTGCTCCTTGTGCCTGTGAGACAGGCAATGCAGAACCACTGAGCTAAATCCGTGGCCCTCATATATTTTTTTTTTTAATCATTGAGTTTATTAGTACATTTTTAGTATACACTACAGTTGCATTCGTCATTGGGATGTTGTACCTTTACATGATGTATCTTGGTTCTTGTTTTATCCCCATTCCCCTCCTCTCCATAACCCCCTCCACCCTTTCCTATTTACAGTTCTTTCTTTTAGGTACTTTAGACATACCCTGAAATCCAAAAGCAAAATAATAATGATTGTTCTCATAAGGGAGAACATCAGTTATTGCTTGTAATTGCCTATGTTAGTGGCATTATATAATATAGGCGATATTTACTGGACTAATGTTACTCATCTACACGTACCCTGATAGCAGTTGTCATTAGCCATTTATTACTTACTCGTCATATACTTTGAAATTTGAAAAATGATTGTTCTCCAAGTCTGCTCTATTTTACCTGATTAATAAACATTTTTACTTAGATAAAAGAAATTCTAACTTTAAATTTTATTTTTTTAATATGTAACCATTCTTTGTAGCAAATAGGGAGAATATGGAAAGTCGCAGAATAGTATAGAAACTATCTGTATCTATTCTTCTATTCAAGAATAACCACTCTTAATTTGGTTTCTTTCTTATTCATAGACATAAATGTTTTCTTTTGTCTTTTTCCATCTGTTCATTTATCTTCTAAAATGTTAACAATATACTATAAATATCATGTTTCTATGATATTAAATTTTTCAGCCTGGGGATTCTTAAGGTTTCTTAGGCTATAATTTATTTGTATACTTCCTATCACTAAATGCAAAAAAAAATTGACTGTATATATATATGAATTTTTAATTCTAAGGATAGGTTTCAGAGCTTTTATCAAATTATCAAAATATGTGTTTTGTTGAAAATTTAAAAACAGCTCTAGCTTGGAAATTTTAAGAACTACATGTTTCTTCACACCATTTCTCTGAGATTAGGCAGTTTCTGATAATTCATTGAAACTAATGCCTTTGTCCAAATCGAAATCTTTGTGTTCATCTTGTTTACTTAGATATTTTCTTGCTAGTTCAGAAAAATAGATTTGCTATGGTACAGCTAAAAATGCTAGTACTTAAAGCCGATACTTTTTAAAGCTCTTCTGAAAATTAATCTAAAGTCTAATTAATCTAAAGTTTTTTTGTAATCTAAAAGTCTGTTTTTGGTACAGAATTTGAACATGAGTGTGTTAAATGTTATGGTTTATACCATTGGTGAGCCCTACTGTTTTATGTAAATTAGGATTTTTAAAAACATGTTCTCTTTAACCATTGTGAGTTTCTTTGCTATGGCATGATTATTTTTTAGGTCATTCAGTTTGTCTTAATATAGAAATAAGATATTTAAAAGGATACAGTACCTTGCCTGGGTTGTTGTTATTTAACCTGTTAGATTGTTTCTAATTGTTATATTAGACTGTACTGAACTTCAGTGTTAAGGTTAATTATCCTTTAAGTAAAAATGTTTATTAATCAGGTAAAATAGAGCAGACTTGGAGAACAATCATTTTTCAAATTTCAAAGTATATGACGAGTAAGTAATAAATGGCTAATGACAACTGCTATCAGGGTACGTGTAGATGAGTAACATTAGTCCAGTAAATATCGCCTATATTATATTATCAGGACCTTGTGCTTGTGAGGCAGGCGCAGTGCCACTGAGCTAAATCCCCAGCCCTTACAGTTATTTTTAAAGATTTAATTGATCAGAATATGCTTGGACTAAAAATAGTATTTCATACATATTTATACAATGAGGAGGGCTTTAGAAATTACAGTGATAGCATCTTTCAGACCCTGGGTACTCAGTAATTTTATTTTAATAACTGAAAGGTATATTAATTTTCTGAAGTTGCTGTAACAAATTACCATGGGCTGGATACCTTAAACAAGTAAATGTTATTTTCTCTTCAGGAAGCTAGAAGTCTGTGATCAAGGTGTTGGTGGGATGAGTTTCTTCTGAGGCCTCTTACTTTGCCTTGTCAGTAGCCATCTTTTCCTTTTGTCCTCACATAGTATTTCTTCTGTGCATGCTTGTGTGTCTAAATTTCCTCTTTTTGTATGGACTCCACTCATTTTTTATTAGGGCCTACTCTAATGACATTATTTTAACTTAATTACCTCTTTAAAGATCCTGGCTCACAATAGTTACATTTTGAAGAACTGGGGGTTAAGACTTCAACATGTGAATTTGGATGGGGTGCAATTAAACCTTGTGCTAAAATCATAATGCTTTAAAAGTAAAAGGAACTTTAATACTGATACTTTAAAAGTATTAGTCCCAGTCACTTATTTTACTGATGAAATAACTTAATCTAAGCAACTTGCTCAAGAGTACATAAGGAATTGCAAGACTGTGACTAGAATATAACTTTTTTGATTCTTAGTTATTGACTTGATTAGAATTAATATAAAATTATTATGGTTTTTAGATAATTTAGAGGCAGTTTAAAATACAAAGATGCATAATGATAAAAATTACTGATGACCTTTGATTTAACTTATGGATTTAGTACTTGAACTCTGAATTTTAGGCTTCATTTGAATGAGCTCTAAATTTGGAATGTTTGCTATGTTTCAAAAACTGCTAATACTAAAATAGATAGCTGAAGAAAAACGTGAAAACCTGTGCTGAGTAAAGTTACTACAGACATGACCTGTCCTCCTTAAATCAGAAATCACTTACTGGTCTAGAGGGGAAATATTATTGATGGAAACACTATTATATTTTCGAGATGTGCTGTATCCAGATGTTTGATAATCAGTACTTTGAATCTATATATTTGCATAAAAGTTTCCAGTAGAGAGATGTTCCAGAGTATGTCTGTGTTCCTCACCTGTTTGCAGAGTCTAGCTTTTGAAGATGAAGTGAGAGAGCACTCTGCTGAAAGGAAAAAATTACTGTGTAGATCTTGTGATAAAAGAAGAGAAAAATAGTGAAAGCCAATATACTTCTTAAGGTGGAACACTGAATCTAGTATGCCCAAAAAGTTCCTGTGTGGTATTTTATAAGACATTTAGAGTTTGTAGCATGAGTGATAGAAAGGATAGTCTTAAAGGCTGATAATAATATAAATAAGGGGACTAGAACCACAAAATATTTTTGTAAGGGTCATAATATCCTAGGGTAAGGACATGGTTTGGTCATAGTGGGGAAGCAATTTTAGGAAATTGAGGCGCTATTTATATATTTGGTTGGTCTTTTTGAGACAGGATCTTGCTATGTAGCTCAGGCTAGTTTTGAACTCATTATGTAGACTGTCCAGTACAAAATCAAGCGTGAGCTAAAAACTTCCAAAATGTACACCTAAGTACTATTTGCTATTGAATAAAATTAATACCTGAAAAAAAGAGATAATGGCTTCAGGTTTCTGTACACTAATGAAAAGCATGACTCTAGATTCATATTTACCCATCAAGGTAGCAAAGATGAAATCATGCCTGGACATATTGTTAGTGAGATGTGTAACACAAAAGAAACATTCAGCATCAGTGGAGAAAAATATTTGCAGAGATTTATAGATTAAAATTGCAAAATTAGCAGTGATAGAAGATAGTGGAAAAAATATCTTCAAAGGGTTGAGAGGAGAGCATTATCAATATGAAATTGTGTATTTGAATCTTTTTTGTAGATGAGAATACACACAATTATAGGTAAATGGAAATGAGAATTCTCTAAGAGATCCTCACTGAGAGACTTTAAAAGGACATTCTTTAGAAGTCTATTCAAATAGCTAAGTATGTATTTTAGGAGCAATAGCCAGATATCCAAATTCTAGACAATAGATGGAGAAAGAAGGCAAGAATGCAATAAATGGTTGGTTAATATAGTATAATAATCTTCAGATGCAGATTATTAGAGAAAGTTGAAATTCTTCCTCTTGTAGTTTGATTTTGTGTGTGTGTACTTTTGTATTTCCCCTAGTTTGTTTATTGTTCTTCACATGGGCTGGAAGTGAGGTTTATGATGCTGTGAATACTTGGAGTACGGAGTAGTTCTATAAGATCTTTTATTATGTGATTTTTAAGGTTTTTTTTTTTAAGACAGTTTCTGTCCAGTGATTAGTAGGTCTAGATTTTTTTCCATTGTTTATTGGTGCTCTTAAAGCAAACAATAGTTACATTCATCATTGGGACCTTGTACCTTTACATGATGTATCTTGGTTCTTGTTTTTTTCCTATACCCTTGCCCTCCCCACCCACTTCACCCTTCCCTATTTACAAAGACTTTGTTTCCATTTTTTCATTTTTTCTCATGTTTTTCTTCACCCTTATTTCCTTTCCCCTCCCATTCCCACTTTGGCTTTAGCCATTTTTTTCCTATTTCACATTGTCAATTATAACATTAGGATCTTATGTACCATTATATTTTTTTCACACCAGAGAAACTATTCAGTATTTACTCAAGTATGTCCTTTTTATTTCACTGAAGAGTATAGCCTTAATGTGCATCCATTTAGCTATAAATGTTTCTAGTTTTGCATTCTTTATGGCTGAGTAGTACTCCATTTTATAGAAAAACCACATCTTCTTTATCCAGTCTCCAGTTGATGGGCAGTTGGGTTGTTTCCAAGTTTTACCTATTATAACCTGTGCCACGACCAACATGGGTGTACATATATCACTGTGGTATGACTCTTTTCTTTTGGAAAGATACCCAGCAGAGGGATAACTGGGTCAAATGGGACCTCTAATCCTAGTTCTTTGAGGTATCTCCATATTGATTTCCACAGTGGTTGCACTAGTGTGTAATCCCACCAACAATGGAGAAGGGTTCCTTTCTCCTCTCACTCCTGCCAGCATTTATTATTGGTTGATTTCTTGATAGCAGCCATTCTTTCGGGGTGAGGTAGAATCACAGTGTTGTTTTCATCTGCATCTTTCGAG